TATATATATATATATATATATATATATATATATATATATATATATATATATATATATATATATATATATATATATATATATATATATATATCGGAGGTTAGTCCTTCAATGCGTATAGCCAGTTATTAGTCTGGCAATGTTGTATGTGAATGTTGTGTCACATACAACATTGCCAGACTAATAGCTGGCTATACGCATTGAAGGACTAACCTCCGAAATGCAACTAACATCATAACTTAACTAGTCGTTCTCAGCTTGACCTTGTAGCTCAGAAGGTAGAGCATCGTTCTAGTAAATGCGAAGGTCGCGGGTTCGAATCCCAGCCGCGGTCAAGTAGAATTTTCTGCTTGCCCGGTTTGGTATACACTTGTCTGAAAACAACTCAAAAACCGCTACATATATATATATATATATAAGACATATATATATATATATATATATAACCGCTACATATATATATATAAGACATAAACAACAAATTTCAATCTTAAAATTTTATTTCATCGCTACACAGTGTTTCACGTACAGCGTACGATCATCAGGCGATTGATGTTAATTATCTCGCAATAAATTTATTGCGAGATAATTAACATCAATCGCCTGATGATCGTACGCTGTACGTGAAACACTGTGTAGCGATGAAATAAAATTTTAAGATTGAAATTTGTTGTTTATGTCTTTTTATTTGCTCTACTGATTTATTGGTGTTGAGCACTCTAGTTCACTACGCACAAATTCAATATTGAATATTATATATATATATATATATATATATATATATATATATATATATATATATATATATATATATATATATATATATATATATATATATAAAAATATCAAGAAATCAAAAACTTCAAAGTAATTAAATTATATTTTTTACGTTTCGGGGACAAGCCCCTTCTTCAGAATAACGCTACATCATCTCCGTCTCTTGCTTAAATAGTCTAACGTTTAGTTATACATAAATTAATTAAACCTCTTCCCTTAAATTAAGCCCACGTGGGACATAACTATTAAGTTTCTCAATCCAAAAGCTCTCTCGCTCAGTGGGGTTATTAACGTCCGTGACGTCAATAACCTGCACTAAAAAATCACTTAGACCTGAATGTCCCTCCCCCCAAAAATGGGCATACAATTGTTGCCCACGAATATTTCTCTGCCCCCGCCCATATCTATTTAATGCACTCTTGTGGTTATTAAATCGCAATCTGAACGGAGTTATGGTATTCCCCACATATTGCAACCCACAGAATTTACAACTAATCAAATACACTATACCCTCCGAGTCACAATGGAAGCGATGATTAATGCAGAAAGACCGCCCCTCAACATGGCTTTTAAAAGTAGCACCAGTAATGACATTGTCACAGATTTTACATTTCTTCTTTCCGCACTTAAACATCCCTACGACCGTTTCCTCTTCCCTTCTCAATTTAAAACGGACTAAGTGATCTTTAAGGTTTTTAGACCGACGAAAACACACCATTGGTGGTTCCGGCATAATACTTAAAAACCTTTCAGACCAACTTACAATTACTTGCAATTCCCTAAAGATATTATAAAGGACCCTCAATGCTGGATGATAATCTATCACAAAACAGTTCCTATTACTATTCTTAACACCTTCTTTCCGCATTAACAAGTTATTCCTGTCGACTTTTCTCACTCTACCAAACTGGTCATCAACAAAATTCGAATTATAACCCCTCTTCACCAAAAAACCTTTTAGCTCGCTTAGTTTTTCCTCAAAAGCATTTTCCAAATTACAAATTCGCTTTAAGCGCAAACCTTGAATATAGGGAATCGCTCTCTTGACATGTGGTGGGTGACAAGATTTAAAATTCAATATATATATATATATATATATATATATATATATATATATATATATATATATATATATATATATATATATATATATATATATATATATATCAAAAAATCATAAATCTTCAAAGTAAATAAATTATATTTTTACGTTTCGGGGACAAGCCCCTTCTTCAGTTATTCTGAAGAAGGGGCTTGTCCCCGAAACGTAAAAATATAATTTATTTACTTTGAAGATTTATGATTTTTTGATATTTATAAATGAAGATTTTTTGGGGCTGGCTCTTGATATATATATATATATATATATATATATATATATATATATATATATATATATATATATATATATATATATAAACATTTAAATTATAATCCAGAGAACAAAATAATTTGTAGAATTATTCAATTAATAAAATGCCTGGATTACAAATCTTCAACTCTATTAAATATTATATATATATATATATATATATATATATATATATATATATATATATATATATATATATATATATATATATATATATATATATATATACATATATAATATATTGATTCGTAATAACTTCTAAACAAGTAAAGTTTTTAAAGAGAAATAACTTGCATTAAATAGAGGAAGGACTAACTTAGATTTTGATATATTACAGTTGTATTTAACTTAAAAATTCACGGAGATATTAATGTTAAAAATGGTGAGCATATTTTGGAATGTGTCTAAAATTAGCGAAAATCGGCATATCAAATATTAACTCCAGCGTTTGTTTGCTTAATGACATATCAGGCTAACTTGTATTTCAGCGAATTGTCGTTAGGGTTTGTAAGGGATATGGTGTAGATTTAGACATCTTACATGTAAGTCTTAGCTCATTGTTTCCTGAAATACGAACGTTCGAAATTATGCAAGTATTTA